CTTTTACCAAACACTACAGAACACATGCCTTGAAGAGACTTTGCTTTTACTGTCAGATCACAAACACTCCCGAATAAAGGGCTTTTCTACATCATACACACTGGAAAGGGAATATCAGTGCATATTTTGTGATTCATGTTTTTGTTTTCTCTCATTTATTTCTGATTTTGAGTTGCATTATGAGATCTTGATCTTTCTTCCAACAACTTTTAACCTTGACAAGTTGTAACCGTGACTTGTATTGATGTGTATTGGTGTGCAGTGCTGTATTGTCTGGGTGGTGTTGTAATCATCACATTGTAATCAACTGCAGCAGATTGTCTGGTATTTTACAGCCTTATTTCTCCAGATATTATTTCTTTTCTGATTTAAAATGACTAAAATGTCAATAAAAGCCACTTTGTAAACTGTAGAGTTGAACTTACAACATCAGTAATGGACAGAGCAGAGATCAACATCCTATTAGTTGAGAGGGGTCTGGCTGCAGACTCCGTGTGGCCCATCTGAGCTGCATGCATCGCTGAGTGATACAATCTCAGCTTGCATCAAAAAGGCTGCATCCAGATACTATTGCATAATGCAGTGTTTCTCAACCATGTTCCTGGAGGAGCACCAGCTCTGCACATTTTCCATGTCTCCTTAATCAAACACACCTGATTCAGGTCATCAGCTCATTAGCAGAGACTGAAAGACCTGTGATGGGTGTGTCGGACAAAGGAGACAAAACATGCAGTGCTGGTGATCCTGCAGGAACGTGGTTGAAAAACACACACACACACACACACTCACACACTCCTGATTGATTTGTCAGGAACTGAGGTGAACATGTTGGTGTGTTTACGAGGCTCGCGGGACTCATTCAGATGTAAATGCTCTGCTCTTTCTGAACTGAAGCGTTCTGTTGATGGAGGCTTTATTAGGAGAGTGTGTGGTTTAGTATTAAAGTTCTCATGAATTCAAAACTAATCATATTCATTTTGTTCGCTCTCATTGTTAGTTTTGTGCTCAATAATTCATCTGTGCATGTTATTAAGAACAAAAACAAGAGTCTGCCCTTGTAATCTGGTGAAGTCTAGATGGGATCCGCGGCCGGCCGGACCTGAGATATGCACATTAATATAGCAGCACTTTTTAATGACACTGTATACCTATAATTCATATTTTTACAGTACTGTGACAGTTGGGGTGGGGATAGACGTTAATAAAATACAAAAAATGGGAAATTCAATAAATAATATAAATAATTCTTGTTAACTTCCGGCTGCAACCATATCCGCTCTAGCAACAACCCTATAATCTTTAATTGAAATCTGAAAATGCACTTCCTGATTGTTTTGAGTTATATTCTCAGATTACGTCTGTTTAAGGTAGTGGGCGTGGCTAACATACTTAACCACGCCCCTGCAACACTCAGCGCTATGACAACAAACAGAAATGATGAGGAGGAGGAGTCTGTTAGGTTGTAATAACTCTCCCCAAACCCTTCCCCCATCTTCCTGAATGAAACGCCCACTTTACTTTATCCAATCAGCTTGCAGTAGAAAAAACAAGCCACACCCACTGTTTTCTCATTTAATATTCCATTTCTCTAAGAACTGCTTCACAATATTGCAAGAGAGTCTGAGTCTGAGTGCTTTGAAAATTAACAAAAACTGAGAAAATCACCTTTAAAGTTGAATGAATTTACAGCTCAATGCAGATTACTAATCAACAACTGAGTTTGGACATATTTACAACAGAAAATGCACAACATATCTTCATGAAACTTGAAATGTGTGTGTCTGTGTGTGCATGTGCATGCCTTACCACATGTCCCCACAAGTACAGCAATACCAGTACACTGTATGTGCGTGTTTGTGTGTCTGTCTGCGTACATGTGTGTGCATGTTGTATGTGTGTCTTTAAGTGTGTGTCTGTGTGTGTGCAGGAGTAACACAGGTTATCAGTGTGTAGTTTGACCTGTGTGTGTGTGTGTGTTTTCCGGCTGTAATGCAGTGCTCTGCTGGCTGTAATTGGATAATGTTTAATGTTTATCAGCGTCTCCGTCTCTACTGTCTCTCTAACCTAGTAAACACACAGTAATCTGATCCAGAGTCAGTCTCTGTTTCTGCATCTCTGACAGCACACAGACTCATTATGGGCTCAGAGACTCTACAGTGTATTGTCGTGTATATGTAGCCAATAAGGTGTATTATAGTTCAGTAAAGGTAAAAACAGCTCAATTAAACACAAACTGAAATAAAAGACATAATAAAGCCATTTTATTTCAACTAGTTTCTATATTCATTTCTCATTTTCATTCAGTCTAAATTGATGCATAAAAATAAAACTGACATGCAAATTAACAACAATATATATATATTAGTAAAAAACAAATAAACAAAGTGGCTGAAACTTTAAAAGGAAATTTAAATTAAACATTAAAACAGTATACTGATTTTTTTAAATGCTAAATTAAAATTCAAACCTTAGTAGCAGAATAATTAAAAAGAAAGGTAATTTACCTGATATGAAGATAGAAATACTATAGTAATGTGTATTATACTTTATATAACTCTCTGTTAATGAATAGCAACCATACCATAGCAACTGTAGAATCAACACAGCAGATCCATTACTGTAGCTGTCGTGTTACCATAGCAACTGTAGAATCAACACAGCAGATCAATTACTGTAGTTGTCGTGTTACCATAGCAACTGTAGAATCACCACAACAGATCAATTACTGTAGTTGTCGTGTTACGATAGCAACTGTAGAATCACCACAAACGATCAATTACTGTAGCTTTCGTGTTACCATAGCAACTGTAGAATCAACACAGCAGATCAATTACTGTAGCTGTCGTGTTACCATAGCAACTGTAGAATCACCACAACAAATCAGTTGCTATAATTGTTCCATTACCATAGCAACTGTAGAATCACCACAACAGATTAATTAAAGCACTTGGCTTTAGTTTGGTTCAACAACACTGCAGTATTTTTTATTAATGAATACAGTATTTCTTCATGTAAGTATAAACTCTGAGCACACTCAACAGTGAGCAAGTGTTCAGTGTTCTCTGCCAATCCATCAGTTCTGCAGCTAATGCAGTTTATGAGGCTGACGATGAGAACACAGACCAGCTTAAGTCAATTAGCTAAGAGGACAGAGCTGGCTTAAATCAGAGCGCAGAAGAGCTGGGTCAGGACCAGCAGAGACACACACACTTCATATAAAACCTGTTCATCTGTCCGTCAGACACACGGCAGAGCTGATTCACACTAGTGGAGGAGTACTGCACATCAAACGGCTGCTCTTACCTAGAGTTTTAGTCCTGTTTCTAGTCCAAACATTTAAAAACGCCTAAATCAGTATTTTCTCAAAATGAGGAGAGTTTAAACATTAAACAAGCAGAATAATTATCCATAATAAATAAAGAATTAAATCATAATTATCATAATAATAATGTTCATAATGTGGTAGTGTTTGCTTTCATTAAATTGGTTTAATTTATCAATAATTACATTCGGTTATTTAAAAATCTGTAAGCTATTTATTTACTTTATTGATTTGTGTGTTCGTTCATTTATTTTACTTCGGCTTAATCCCTTTATTCATCAGGGGTCGCCACAGTGGAATGAACCACCAACTATTCCAGCATATGTTTTACACGGTGGATTCCCTTTCAGCTGTAACCTAGCACTGGGAAACACCCATACACACACACTCATACACTACAGCCAGTGTAGTTGATCAGTTCCCCTATAGCGCATGTGTTTGGACTGTGGGGGAAACCGGAGCACCTGGAGGAAACCCACACCAACACGGGGAGAACATGCAAACTTCACACAGAAACACCAACTGATCCAGCCGAGACTCAAACCAGTGACCTGAGTGCTGTGAGGCAATTGTAAGACACCATTCCCCCCTGTTTGTTTATTAATTCATTTATTTAGTTTTTTATTTATTTGTTTATTGTTTTTATTCATTTCTTTTACTTATTTGTCCATTTATTCTTTCATTTGTTTATTTATTTATTTACTTTTATTGTTTGTTAATGAATTTATTTATTTGTTGTTATTTATTTGTGTATTCATTCATTTACTTACTTTCATTTGTTTATTTATTTACTTTTATTGTTTGTTTGTTTGTTTGTTTATTTGTTTATTCGTCTATCTTTGCTCCTTATTTTCTGGGATAAAGCTGTAAGCTTTTAAAAATGTGAGTGTAGCGCCAGCTAGTGGAAACTATCAGAAATTACATGATCACTGGAATGAACTCGAGAACGTCAGATGTAAACAGAGCTGATGTAAAATAACTGCATTAAATAACTGCATTGTAATCACACACACACACACACACACACACACACACACACACACACACACACTACTGCCTCTGCGCTATAGGGGAATTGTATCAGCTAAACTGGCCGTATATGTGTGAATGAGTGTGTGTTTGGGTGTTTCCCAGTGCTGGGTTGCAGCTGGAAGGGCATGCGCTGTGCTAAACAGATGCTGGAACAGTTGGCGGTTCATTCCGCTGTGGTGACCCCTGATGAATAAAGGACTAAGCTGAAAGGAAATGGATGACTGTATAATGTGTGGATGCAGAGGGCGGTGTGCGCTGTTCTGTCTCTGTGAGTCACTCTGCTGCGGTTCTACTGGGATTTACAATGTAAACCTTTAATAAATCAGCAAGTTCTCCTTCTTTTAATGGGTATGTTTACGCTTCAGCTTCTGAACTGTCAGAATATTGGTTTTCTTTGTACAGATCAGTCTAGATGTGTCCAGACAGCGTTAATGAAGCCACTTTTTGTCTTTAAATGTTTTATTTAATTGAAATAAAATACTGAAATCGTTTTTAAACGCTGTGAAACTTTAACAAATCTGCATCTGTCCCAAAACAGAACATATATAACGGTCCAAATTAAATCTCAATCGAATAAATTCATTATAGGCCACAGGAAACTGCAGAGTAATGAAGTTTACTGGCTCCTCATCATCAACATCCGGTCCGCGCGGTACATGCTGGGACTGCGGGTCCTCCAGGCGCGGGTAAACACTAGACGGCATCCAGCTGCGCACACTCACATCAATATAGCATCATTTTTGAGACACTGTACAGCAATAACTAATATTTGAACATCACAGTGAAGGCTGGGTTTAGGGTTGGAGTAGGCTTAGATGGTAATAAAATACAATTTAATGGGTAATTTAATAACTAACATGATTATTATTATGTATTAATACTGTAATAATAATGATAATACATCACTGTAATAATTGGGGTAGACGTTTATAAAATACAAGTAATGAATAATTTAATAAATAATATAAGTAAGTCTCGTTAACTTCCGGCTACAGCTGTATCCCTTTTAGCAACCGCAGGCGCGCCTCCATCTTTAAACCCCAGAGAAGCGCTTCCGCTCCGCACCGAACACACAGAACCCGGTTTCACCGAAACATCATGAAGGATTAACGGCAGATCAGCACTTTAAAACCGGCAGAGCAGAGATCAGGAGCCCCGAGCAGCGTCCAGCCCGCTGACGGCTTCATTCCCGCGCTGACACTCACGTAAACACGGCCGCAGCTGTTGTCCGCATCGCTTTTGTCCGCCGTTTGTCCGGTTCCTGCCCGGTTTCTGCCTCCCGGAGCCCGGAGATGACCGGAGGAAGATGTCGGTGTCGGGACTGAAGGCCGAGCTCAAGTTTCTGGAGTCCATTTTTGACCCACATCACGAGCGCTTCAGGATCATCGACTGGAAACCGGACGAGCTGAGCTGCCAGTTTAACGTTACCGGAGAACAGCTGCTCATCATACACTGCAATATCACGGTACACACACACGCAGTATACAGTAAACACTCTGAAAACACACACCGTACACTAAAAACAAACTCTACACACACACACACACACACACACACACACACACACACACACACACACACACACACACACAGAGAGAGCGCACTACGTACACACAAACCGTGCACTGTAAACAAAAACACGCACTGAAAATATACACCGTACACTTAAAAACAAACTACACACACACACAGTTAACGGACTACGTACACACACACACACACACACACACACACACACACACACACACAGTACGTAGTAAACGCACACCGTACACTGTAAGCAAAAACACGCACTGAAAATACACACACACACACACACACCATACGCTGAAAACACAGCACATACACAATAAATACACACTGTACAGTAAACACACACTAAACACACACACATGCACTCTCTGAACACACCATACACTGTAAACAAACAAACACACACACACCATACACAACTAACACACTCGGAACACACACACACACACACCATACACTGTAAAAACACACACATCGTACACACTGGAAACACTCAGAACAAACATCATGAACACACACTAAGGATCGAACACAACACACCTCTGATCACACATTTAAACACACACGCACTGTACAGTAAACACTGGGAACACACTGTACACACACACACACACACACACACACACTCACTGAAATACACTGTACAAACATGGACCACACACACACACACTGTAAACAACAAACTCACTGATCATATACACACTGAACAAGCAAGACTAAACACACACTCATACACAGTTAACACACTGCACACACACTCTCTTGCAACTTACACACCCCGTACACACTGAAAACACTGATTACACACATACTGTAAGCAACACACACACTGATCACACAATAAACAAGCAGCACACTAAACAAACACACTCACTTTTTACACACACACACACACACACACACACACACAACACAGTAAAGACACAGTGTTTACACTGAAAACACACTGTAAACATGTACACAGCATACAAACTGAACGCACATACTGTAAGCAACATACTCTGATCACACAACATACCACACACACACACACACACACACTGATCACACGTACACTATACAAGCAATAAACCAAACAAACACTCACTCCATACACACACACCCATACACACACCCATACACACACCTAACACCGTAAACACACACAGTAAACATGTGACCTTGCACACTGAAAACCCACTGCGTGTGTGTGTGTGTGTGTGTGTGTGTGTGTGTGTGTGTGTGTGTTTTATGTAAGTTCCTGCAGGTGTTGTTTTAGAGCTGTTAAATGGAGGAATGTTGATAAGAACACACTGTCAGTCAAATATTCACACGCACACACACACACACACTCACACACACACACACACCCCTCTTCTTTGATCACTGCAGTTGTCCACATTTGCAGTCAGCAGATCTCTATAGTGGATCATACACAGCATGAAGATCAGCTCCTCTCCGTCACTCTAGATGGGTAAATCGAGAGTTTGTCTTCAAGAATAGATCAGTAAGGGTTGCTACCACGTCTGGAGATGCTTGAAAATGCTTGAAGTTGAATCTGGTGGCCTAGATTATTTTGTGAGTGCTTGAAGTTGTCATTGTTCCGGAGTGTTGGCCATCTATATTACTGAGTCCAGAATAATAATGAAGTGTTTAAATCAGCTACACTAAAGTCTTTCAGGGCAGACGCTGTCCTCAGCTCTCCAGTGCTGCTGTGCATTGTGGGTAATGCTGTAATCTTGCTCTTTCAGGAGTCGTACCCGTCCACGCCGCCCATATGGTTTGTGGATTCGGATGATCCGAGTCTGACTGGAGTGCTGGAGCGTCTGGAGGAGGTCAGGAGGGGAAGCACACTGGTAAAGCACTGTACTTTTACACCGCTGCTTACCACAGCATGCTTATTGTAGCATCTTCAACCTTAAAACTGCATATAATGCTGCCATGCACGATAAAATACAAGCAAATCCCGACCATCCGCTGACTCTCTGTTTTAGGAACGGTTTCATGTTCATCGATGATCAAATTGAAACAGCTTGTATGACTTTATCAGTGTTGTTGTTTGTGTAAATATCGAGTGAATGATGAGGAAATGGTCGTGATTGTATGTTAAAACTGGAAGTGTTGTCATGAATATAGCCAATGCTGCTGAAATTAAAACATAAATAAATTAATAAATAAAGGCTTTCATATTGGTTGAAAATGGGGCGAGGCAGTGGCGCAGTAGGTAGTGCTGTCACCTCGCAGCAAGAAGGTCGCTGGTTTGAACCTTGGCTCAGTTGGTGTTTCTGTGTGGAGTTTGCATGTTCTCCCTGCGTTGGCGTGGGTTTCCTTCGGGTGCTCCGGTTTCCCCCACAGTCTAAAGACATGCTGCAGGTGAATTGCGTAGGCTAAATTGTCCGTAGTGTATGAGTGGATGAGTCTATGAGGGTGACAGGCCCAGTCGACAGGCCGGCTGGTATGTGTAAAAAATAGTCTCTATCATATGGAGAAGTCTAAAATGGCATGTTCCAAAGAGCCGACCCCACAACCATACAGGACTACAGAAGAAGAAGAAGTTATTGGTTGAAAATGTGAACATTAGAACTGTGACTCGGTAGAAATGTAACCCCAAGAAGAATTAGCTAGAATAATCTACTATTCAGAAGGATATAGTCTCAGTAAATGATGACAGAATTAATCATTTGAAGGAATTCATTTAGTCGAACACAACACAGATGCTAAATATCATGCCTCTTTTTTTTTTAAATGTGTGACATTTCTTAAAATTATTATTATTATATTTATAAACAGTTAAAAACACAACACAAGAAATGAAATCATATAAAAGTGTAACAATTTCAAACAGAAACAATTGTGATATTTAAGAGTATCAAATGAAATAAAATACAGGAAATATATAATATTCTCATTTTGAAGCTCTAGTGCAGGGGTGTCAAACTCAATTCCTGGAGGGCCGCAGCCCTGCACAGTTTAGTTCCAACCCTGCTCCAACACACTTACCTGTAGGTTTCGAACAAACCTGAAGGACTTAATTAGTTTGATCAGGTGTGTTTAATTAGGGTTGGAACTAAACTGTGCAGAGCTGCGGCCCTCCAGGAACTGAGTTTGACACCTGTGCTCTAGAATATAGGTGTCAAGCTCAGTTTCTGTAGGGCCGCAGCTCTGCAGTTTTACTCCAACCCTGATCAAACACAGCTGAGGTGTTCAAGACTACTAGACACCACAATCAGCTGTGTTTGATTAGGAACTAAACTGTACAGAGCTGCGGCCCTCTAGAAACTGAGTTTGACACCTGTGCTCTAGTACTAGTTTTTTGCTGCTTGGTTCATTCTATCTTGTACATTGTTTATGAACCAGCGTTTCAATTTATAAATGTGTTTGCTCATGTATATTTCTTTCTTGCATAGTTATTATACCCAAATGACTAAAGAGTTCTGAGTATTTCTGCCTAGAGCTTCTATAGTGGTCCACATGACTGCATGCAGTTCAGTGGTGCTGCTTTTTAAATATGCATTATTCTGTTGCCTAGCAACTTCCTATTGGCAAATACATAACTTTACTTCATATATGTGTCTCTCTAAACAGCATATTCAGATATTCAGTGCCTCAAAATGCCCATATTTAGTAACTTTACATTAATAGGCTGTATTGCTAAAACATTGTATATTTAGGGTGATGATGACTTAATTAGTATGCCTACAGACATTCAGGCTTAAATTTAATTTCTCAACAGAAGCTTTGAATGTGAGTAGGGCATGACAGCATGACATCTTGCATGAGAATGTTCAGAATGACTGTGATGGTAATTGTAGCAGTTGTAGAATTCTGGTAGATCAAGCCTGCACATACTAGATCAGCCAGCTGCAGTTTATAAGAGCTCAAAGAGGATCCAGGTATGAGTTGACTCACTAGTGTGCACTCGGATTACATTAGCACGCTGTGAATGTTGTGTAACGCTCGACTTCATTACAGCGTCGCTAGGCTGGTAATTACTGTTTACTGCTGTTCAAAACATCATGAGTACAACACCTGGGGCCTGTTTCAGAAAGGAGGTTAACTGAAAACTCAGAGTATTTTAACCCTGAAATGAGAGAAACTCTGGGTTTTCCGTTTCAAAATGGCAGGTTTGTTAAACTCGAGAAATCAGGGTAAGTCAAGCCTGTTTCTGAAAGAGAGTTAACTTTAACTCAGAGTCAGTTACTGTGGTAACTTACTCTGTGAATCTAACCTGGTCAGAAGCTGGTTTTATTCTCTAAACTCAGAGTTTCTGTCGGTCTCCTCCCCTTTTTTTAAAGATGAAGCGGTATTTCACGCCTTAGCCTTACGTTTCCACCCACCTATTTTAATGCTCATTTTGGATACGTGCATAAAAACGATTGATAGAAACGTATGATGCACATAACTTTTTAAAATATGCATAAAAAACGCACATAACTGAGTAGGATAAACTTTTATTCGATAGAAAATGTGCGCATAAATTACGATGGAAACACTTTTACTGAACAAATTACAGTATGTACATTAAAAAAAAGATCATGATCATATGATAATGAAAATGTGTGTAAATGGAGGCTGAGAACACTGTAACACGTCTTAAATATTGTTTTAGTCATTCTAAAATGCCTTTACAGTTTCAGTATTAGTGTATATTATTAATTACCTCCGAACGTCTGGTGCGTGTCAAGAGTCTCCGCGTCTCATGGCTTCAGACGCCCCCACGTGTTCATTGTGTTTCAGCATTGTCTTCTGACATCGAGGCGCAAGTACATTATTTAGGCTAAATAAAGAATTAATTGACGCAGCTTCTTCTACCACAGTAAATTCTGTTTTTACTGTTGATATTTGGTGCCAGTTAAATCAGGAAGTGACAATTTTTTTCTCTTTGACTCGTTGGATGGAATTTTATTCGCATCTTTTATGCAATATTGCAGTTTTGCACATAAATTTATGTAATATATTTGGATGGAAACATAGCTATTGCCTACATTTTAGTCACACACAGAAGAACTGTACTAGAATGGCTTATGCTTTTTTAATAAATAATTAAATTGAATTCACCTTCGATATGCACTGTAACTAGATTAATGGGATTATTATTCTTTCTAAAAATTATTTTTAGTACTGCTTACCTTCTAAATGTTATATAAACCTCTATCACTTGATCAATAAAAAAGGCAGACACACAAGTGCACTGTTAAATCATTTAAAACTAATAAATGTATAAAAGAAAGTTTAGAAAAAAAAATATATAAACGTCACAAATTATTATACTTAAATATTTAAATACTTAAAAAGTTAAATTAGGCATTATCTTGAGCAGCTGTTTTCCCACGCTAACTGGTTGATGGCTGCTTCTTTTCAAATATATACGCTCATATTTGCTAGAACTTTGCATGAGAACATCAAGTTCAGCTGGAGAAAGAAATGGTGATCTCTTTTATAAGATATTGTCATAGTCACTCGTAATGTCTGCGCTCCACTGATAATGCCTTTTTATAGTCACGGTGCGCGCGCTTAACTCTGAGTTGGTCTACTCGAAGTTGATTGACCCAACTCAGATCAGCTGTTCTGAAACCGAAAACTCTGAGTTTTTAATCTCTCGGTAAATCAACTCAGAGTTCAAGTTTAAACTCTGAGTTGTTTGAACCTCCTTACTGAAACAGGCCCCTGCTCTGCTCCAAACCACTGCACCGTCTTTAGATTATACACACGTGCTGAATATTACTGCATTCACCCACACCGAGAGAGCTGCAAATGAGGAGGTATGATTTAAAGAGTCCCGTTTATATTCACTTTCTCATAATGAAAAGTCTGCAAAGCTCAGTGCAGTTCTGCTCTCACTAATAAAAAGAATGATTCTGAATGGAGTCACTGGAGAATCAATCAAGTTACCTGAGACTCAAGAGAATCATTCGAGTCAGCGGAGAATCAAGAAAATCAACCGAGTCACCAGAGAATCAAGAGAATCAATTAATTCACCGAATCAAAAGAATCAGTCAAGTCACCGGAGAATCAAGAGTATCAATCGAGTCACCAGAGAATCAAGAGAATCAATCAAATCCCCAGAGAATCAATCAAGTCACCGGAGAATCAAGAGAATCAATCGAGTCACTAGAGAATCAAGAGAATCAATCAAGTCACTAGAGAATCAAGAGAATCAATCAAATCCCCAGAGAATCAAGAGAATCAATCAAGTCACCAGAGAATCAAGAGAATCAATCAAATCCCCAGAGAATCAATAGAGTCCCCAGAGAATCAATGGAGTCACCGGAGACACAAGAGAATCAGTAGAATCAATCGAGTCACCGAAGAATCAGGAGAATCACCAAAGAATCAAGAGAATTAATCGAGTCACCGAAGCCTCACCGGAGATTCAAGAGAATCAATCAAGTCACCGTAGAATCCTGAGAGTCAATCGAGTCACTGGAGAATAATGAGAATCAATTGAGTCATCAAAGAATAATGAGAAACAATCGAGTCACGGAAGAATCAAGAGAATCAATTGGGTCACCGGAGAATCAATCAAGTCACCAGAGAATCATGAGAGTCTATCAAGTCACCGAAAAATCAAGAAAATTAATCGAGTCACTGGAGTCTCAAGATAATCAATCAAGTCTCCAAAGAATCTTGAGAATCAATTGAGTCACCAAAGAATAAAGAGAATCAATCGAGTCACCAGAGAAACAATCGAGTCACCGAAGAATCAAGAGAATCAATTAAGTCATTGGAGAATTGTGTGAGTCAATCGAGTCACGGAGGAATCTAGAGAATCAGTCGAGTCACCGGAGACTCATGAGAGTCAACCGAGTCACCGGAGAATCAATTGAGTCATTGGATAATCAGTCGAGTCTCAGTTCATGATTCACTAGTTACTCGATTGATTCTCCTGATTCTGCGGTTACTTGATTGATTCTCCAGTGAATTGACTCATCTGTGATCATCCGTAAATCATGAATTGAGGCATTGATGAATCGTAAATTGAGGCATATATTATAATAATATAAGTCATTATATTATTACATAGTTTTTTTTAATCTTGCATTAGTGTAAACCTGCTGTAGGAGAATTACAAAACTAATTTAGGCGAATCTCTGCTAATATGGCAGAATTAGATCACCTTAAAAGGGATAGTTCACCCAAAAATCTCATTACTCCAGTCTGTCACATGAGACTTTAGGAATCTTAATGTTAAACTGTGTGTGTGTGTGTGTGTGTGTGCGTGCGTGCGTGCGTGCGTGCGTGTGTGTGTGTGTGTGTGTGTGTGTGTGTGTGTGTGTGTGTGTGTGTGTTTTGAGGGAGCGTCAGGGCTGTTGATTGGACGGCTCTCTTCATTCTCAGTCTGGTATTCATTACACACACGTGAAATGTGATCAGCTTCTGTTGTGGTTTAGTGACTGAACGCAAACACACTGACGACTGAAAGAGGAGCAGCTGATCTTTATCACGGAAACAACAGATCTGGAGCACAAATTACCCATAATGACCTGCTAATCTCACACACGTGACCGTATGCGCATACACACAGTAGAGCTCAACATTATTAAAGCTGCTGTCAGAATAATTACTGCTCAGATATGTCAAACAGTTGTAGTAATAGTATTTGGCCTTCAGCTGAATGTTAGTGTGGCTCCATCATACTCACTGTGCACTCATGAGTGTGTGTGTGTGTGTGTGTGTGTGTGTTTTCAGCTCCTGCAGCAGCTGAAGAGGCTGATCTGTGACCTGTGTCGCCTCTATAATCTCCCTCAGCATCCAGATGTGGAGATGCTGGACCAGCCGCTGCCTTCAGGACATCATACACACGACAGAAAGGTCAGCATTATTCACACACACACACCTGCAGGACACTGAGCGTACGGTGTGTGACACAATAAACCATGATCATACACCAATACTGAGGTCTATAGTCCAGTGAACTCATTAATTATGCATGATCAGGGTTCAATTAGCCAAAAGCTGAAGACGGACACACACTTGACTCGGATTTTGAGCACACTTGGTTTGTGTTCTTGCTTGGATTGCACTGTCATAACGTGTGTGTGTGTGTGTGTTTTATCCTGCAGCTGGGCACGACAGATGAGGTGACATCAGAGGAGGAAGAGGAGGAGGACATGGGAGAGGTGTGTGTGTGTGTGTGTGTGTGTGAGTGCGCAAGTTTCTCTGTGTTTAACTGTGAATGGGTGTATGTTTCTCTTTGTGTGCATGTGTGTGTTCTTTACATGCACTCATGCTTGTGTGTGCGCATTCATTTGTGCTTGTGTGTGTGTGTGTGTGTGTGTGTCTGCAGGACATTGATCTGGAGCACTATGAGATGAAAGAGGAGCCGGTGGAGGGGAAGAAGTCTGAGGATGACGGGATAGAGAAGGAGAATCTGGCCATCCTGGAGAAGATCCGCAAGACCCAGCGGCAGGACCACCTCAATGTAAGTGCGCACTCGGTAAGGGCCCTTTCCTTCTGCTCCTCTCCTCTTCTGTTCTGGGTCGGTGTTCAGATGTCTGCCGGGTTTATAGGTTGTTGTGTGTTGTGTTGTTCTAGGGAGCTGTGTCTGGATCTGTTCAGGCGTCTGACCGCCTCATGAAGGAGCTGAGAGAGATCTACCGCTCTCAGAGCTATAAAAACGGTAATGTGCATTACTCAGACTGCTGCTGCTGTTCTCTGATCAGTCTGTATCCTCTGCTGTTCTCTGATCAGTCTGTATCCTCTGCTGTTCTCTGATCAGTCTGTATCCTCTGCTGTTCTCTGATCAGTCTGTATCCTCTGCTCCAGGAATCTACTCAGTGGAGCTGCTCAATGACAGTTTGTACGATTGGCACATCAAGCTGAGAACGTAAGTGTGTGTGTGTGTGTGTGTGTGTGTGTGTGTGTGTGTATCGTGATTGTGTGTGTATCTTGATGATGATTGTATGTCTGTGTCTTAATAATGATGATAGTGTGTGTGTGTGTGTGTCTTCATGACGATGCTGATGATGGTGTGTGTGTTCAGTGTGGATCCTGACAGTGCGTTACACAGTGATCTGCAGGTGCTGAAGGAGAAGGAGGGAATGGACTACATCCTCCTCAACTTCTCCTATAAGGTGAGTTTCACCTGCTGAAGTGGAGAATATCAGGGTTGTGGATGAACTGAGCAGTGATGGGAGGGAAATGCGAGTGTCATGTTTTCACTGTAACAAGTTCTTTACTTGCGTTCTTACCATGTGTGTTTGGCCAAAAAATACATTTTTCATTATGCTGAATGTGATATTAATTAAATATGTAAATGTCATTTTGAAAAAGTAAATAAAAACACGAGTCATTCATATTTACAAAGATTTAAAGCAAAGTGTTTGATTTTATTTCTTTATGCAAACCTCAAGTCCATGATGTTTTATAGTTGGTGTGTGTGTGTGTGTGTGTGTGTGTGTGTGTGTGTGTGTGTGTGTGTGTGTGTGTGTGTGCGTGTGCGTGTGCGTGTGCGTGCGTGCGCGTGCGTGCGTGCGTGTGCGTGTGTGTGTGTGTGTGTGTGCTTGTTCAGTAATCCAAGTGTTGCCTCCAAGCGTTTCTCAAATGCAGTTTAATGCGGTATTAATGTTTTTGTAAAATAATATTTATAGCAGGGTGTTTTTAGATTGTCGTTCATTTCTACTTATTATATTTGTTGCTTTAAAAACTCTTAGTTCTCCTACAATAATCTATAAATGTTTTGCACAGTGCCTGTGTGTACAGTCTAAATGAGTTTATTTTTTTCAGGATAATTTCCCCTTCGATCCTCCATTTGTACGTGTAGTGTCTCCTGTTCTGTCTGGAGGGTAAGATTTATATGACTCTTACTAACGTCCTTATTTGCATGTAGAAGAATACATTTATTATTATCATTTATTATTATTATTATTGTTGTTTTTATTATTTATTATTTTGTTATTATTATTTATTATTTTGTTATTATTATTATTTATTTTCATTGATATTATTATTTATTTTTTGTTATTATTATTATTATTATTATTATTATTTATTTTTGTTGTTGTTGTTATTATTTATTATTTTGTTATTATTATTTATTTTTGTTGTTGTTGTTATTATTTATTATTTTGTTATTATTATTATTTATTTTTGTTGTTGTTGTTATTATTTATTATTTTGTTATTATTATTTATTTTTGTTGTTGTTGTTATTATTTATTATTTTGTTATTATTATTATTTATTTTTGTTGTTATTATTATTTATTATTTTGTTATTATTATTATTTATTTTTGTTGTTGTTGTTATTATTTATTATTTTGTTATTATTATTATTTATTTTTGTTGTTATTATTATTTATTATTTTGTTATTATTATTATTTATTTTTGTTGTTGTTGTTATTATTTATTATTTTGTTATTATTATTTATTTTTGTTGTTGTTATTATTATTTATTATTTTGTTATTATTATTATTTATTTTTGTTGTTATTATTTATTATTTTGTTATTATTATTAATATTATTTATTTTTGTTGTTATTATTATTTTTGTTTATTCTTTATTATTTTGTTGTTGTTATTATTATTATTATTATTGTTTATTATTATTATTATTATTATTATTATTATTATTATTAATCACTATTATTCAGTCCCTTCAGGATTTTGTGAGGAAAAAAACGTAGCTAAAATGATTGATTATACGGAGAGTTTGTGCAAAACGTCTTTTTTTATTGTTTTGCTGTGAAAATATACACGTTTACATGCCTCAATTATTATAATTTTATCTTTTGACCTAGAGAATTATTGATTCCAGTAATTTATATAAAGGAAACGCTAAGAGAAACTAGAATTTACCCATTGTGTGTGTGTGTGTGTGTGTGTGCGTGCGTGCGTGTGTGTTGTGTCTGGAATGTTCTAAACTGGTGGTGGTTGTTGTTGTCAGGTATGTACTGGGAGGAGGAGCTCTGTGTATGGAACTACTCACTAAACAGGTCAGACTGGGCTTTACTGGGCTTTACATGTGTGTGTTCTGCGGATCAATCACTGACTGCCTCATTGACTGTGCGTGTGTGTGTGTGTGTTCTCAGGGCTGGAGCAGTGCCTATTCCATCGAGTCTGTCATAATGCAGATCAACGCCACTTTAGTCAAAGGGAAAGCGAGAGTGCAGTTTGGAGCCAACAAGGTGAAAACACACTGTCTGCTCTCTGAGGATGAGGATGATGATTGTGTTTGTGCAGCAGGAGTTTGATTGTAGTGTTTCATTGTCACTGTAACTGGACAGAAAATACTAGAACAATAATTAGTCCAGGTGTTTCAGTCGATTATACTAAATACTGTAGTGTTTTTGAACTATACTGTAGTAAAGTGTCTTATATAGCATAACTGATCAACTGTAATAAATACTGTAGTATACTACCATACTGTGGTTGTTACCATAGCAACTGTAGAATCACCACAACAGATCAATTACTGTAGTTGTTGTGTTACCATAGCAACTGCAGAATCACCACAACAGATCAGTTACTATAGTTGTTGTGTTACCATAGCAACTGTAGAATCACCACAACAGATCAGTTACTATAGTTGTTGTGTTACCATAGCAACTGTAGAATCACCACAACAGATTAATTACTGTAGGTGTTGTGTTGCCATAGCAACTGTAGAATCACCACAACAGATCAATTACTGTAGATGTTGTGTTGGCATAGCGACTGTACAGGTTAGCTGGAGTACTGTATATAGTAGTGTACAGTGAGCGCTGTAGTGTGTGCTGTATTAGTGTTGATGTGTGTGTTCTGGCTGTGACGCATTAATAGTTGTGTGTGTGTGTGTGTGTGTTTTCAGAATCAGTACAATCTTGCCAGAGCACAGCAGTCGTATAAATCTCTGGTGCAAATCCACGAAAAGAACGGTGAGAAAACAAATCATTGATGTATTGATGTCTGGAAATGGAGAATCTGACTTTAATTTCACACATCGCCAGGGTTATAATCAGACAATAGCAGATTTTCGTTGTTTTATTTTCAGTTTTTTTTTTCATTTTAGTATTTAATTTTTACCTTTAGGTTCAGTTGTCCAGCATTGATTTGAAAGTGTGTGTGTGTGTGTGTGTGTTATTTCTCCAGGCTGGTACACACCACCGAAAGAAGACGGCTAAATGTGGAGATGGACAGAGTTTCTCCTCTGCTTTCTCTCTTCTTCTTCTGTCTCCGTCATCCCTTCATCAGCTCTGCAGAGATCCACCATGTTTCCACACACACCAGATCCAGTGACATCTGACCGCTTCTGTACATTCCTGAGTCCTGAACACACACACACACACACATATAGAGTTGCACTGAACTGCAGGAGTGTGTGGATGAACATCTCTGATGATAGTGTTTGTGTGTGTGTGTGTGTGTGTGTGTGTGTTCTGGGATCTGCGAGGAGACCCATAATGCCTTAAAGAGCAGGATTGTGACTGATCTGAGAGCAGCTCTTGTTCCTATGTTCTCCTTCACCCGTCAGCGTCTCCTGAACCCTATGCAGTGCACTTGTTAGGGCTGATCTGTGTTCTTCAGACAGGAGCTGTTATTCCTTCTTGACGTTTGGACTTCAGAGATGAAGCGTACTCAAGCCGCTCTGCTGTGCTTCTGAATGGGAACACTGTGTGTGTGTGTGTGTTAAAGGCTGACTCCAGATCAGTTCCTCACTCAGACGTTCACTCCTCTGCTGTGGTTCATCTGTCGGCATGCTTCACCTTTACTGCAGTTCCGTTTCCTCTTGTTCGGTGTCATTTTGACAGACATGTACAGAACCGTTTGTAAACTTGCATCAAGTTTATGAATAAAGAATTTTAAGAAATGCAGGAGTGTGTGTGTGTGTGTGTGCGCGTGTGTGTGTGCGTGCGTGCGTGTGTTGATGCTGTTTACACATTTAATTCCAGAAAGCTGATTAAGGATCAATCACTGTTAGCAAAGCACGTTCCACGCAGTGTGAATGTGAGCCGTATGAATGAAACTCTGACGGACAGCATCGGCCATGTCGTCATGATCACATGACCTACCTGCATCAGTTGCATTGCTTTACTCCCATATTCATAAATTCTCTCGCAGGGCATCATGGGATAGTGCATCAGATGCACACTTCAGAATCAGGCCAGAAGTGGTAAGTCTTCTCGCATGCTGTTTTTCCAATTCTATAAATTCAGACAGGGGTCACCATTCTCGGTCCTGGTGGGCCGGTGCCCCAGTAATATCATGTAATATGATGTATTATGCTTATTCTTTACAGTGAACACTAATGTTTATTTCAAGGCATTAATTACATTGATATGAGATTGCCAAGCTGACGTGTGTGTGTGTGTGTGTTGTGTGTGTGTTGTGTGTGTGTTGTGTGTGTGTTGTGTGTGTGTGTGTGTGTGTGTGTGTGTGTGTGTGTGTGTGTGTGTGTGTGTGTGTGTGTGTGTGTGTGTGTGTGTGTGTGTGTGTGTGTGTGTGTGTGTGTGTGTGTGTGTGTGTGTGTGTGTGTGTGTGTGTGTGTGTGTGTGTTGTGTTGTATTTGATATGACAGGGCAGAATCTGCAGTGTTTAATCTGCTGTGCTGGAGCTCAGTGTCCACCAGAGGGCAGCAGCACATCAGCATCATCACAGTGAGTCTCCCACACACACGCACACACACACACACACACTGAGCTCCTCTTTCTGCTCAGACTGATCTCAGTGCAGTGTTTACAGACAGTAACAGCGCGCTTTTCAATTCTTCTGTCAATTCTTGGATATCTTCAGTGTGTGTGTGTGTGCAGCAGTCTCTGTGCTTCAGTTAATCCTCACCGGACACACACACACTGTGTGTGTGTGTGTGTGTTTGAATCTGTGTGCGTTTGAATCCTCATGGTGTGTGTGTCTATTTGTGTATTCATTATATGTGTTCATGATGTCTAATCTTTGTGTGTGTGTGTGTGTGCTTATAATGCATGTTTACGATGTGTGTTTGTCCATGGTATGTATACATTCATGACGTGTGCATGTTCAGGTTATGTGTGTGTGTTAAGGGTGTGTATTCTTGGTGTGTTTGTGTTCATGATGTGTCTGTGTGTGTGTGTGTGTGTGTGTGTGTTCAGTGTTTATCTGACATTCAGATCCACACTAGTATAAGCTCCGCTGGGTCTGTAATACACTGATAGCAGACACTGATGGACACTGGCCTGACACACACACACAAACACACAGTCAGTATTGGTAATTGAATGTGTGTGTATGAGCTGTGGTTGTGCTGTGCTCGAGCCGCTCTGTCTGTCCTCTCAGTGTCTGCTGTGCTGCAGATAAGAGAAGATCAGATGATCAATATGATGTAGATTCATATCTGACAGCAAATAAACATTCACTTATCAATAATAATAATAGTAATATAGTCTGGGTTGGTGTTGTAAGTTACACTATAAACACCTTGTCATAAACTGCAGCACATTTGCTGTTATTTTACAGTCTTATTTCTCTAGATTTGATCTCTTATTTTAATTCAAACTACTAAAATGTCAGTAAAAGTCACTTTGTGAAACTGTAGAGTTGAATTATGAGCATCAGAAGTGGACAGAGCAGAGATCAACATCCCATAATGCAGCTCACCCCCACAAATAAACACAAAACACAGCTCTTGAGATCAGTCAATATCTTCTGGATGTCTGTCTCTGGACTGCGTCAGTAATAGTCATTCCCTGATGACATCAGAATCAGCTAGATTTGTTGAAATAAAGGTCTGACACTGTCATTAATCCAGTATTAATAATCAGTGAATGTCGTTCCTGCTGGTAGAATCTCTCAAGGAGCGTCTGTCAGTAAAACACACGGCTTCAGGACAGAGCTGCTCTGTTTACAATGCTCAATATTTAATCTCGCTCTGAGGATGGTTGCCATTACACGGATCAGAGTCGACAGTCAGAATGAATGAATTAAAGCTGTCATAACACACAAATGAGCTTTATCACACTCTGACTCTGAGTTAAACCCCAATGAAAGATGGAGAAAAGAGCACAATCACTGCTGCAAAGACATCTGACGCTGAACGACACAAATACAAAAGCTAGATACACCTATATACATATAAATTTCACATATTTCCCAATTTAAAGAGTGCGTATTATGCAGAACTCACTTCTATGTGGGGTTTAAACCCAGTTGTGTGTGTGAAGATCTCCAGCCTCTAATGGTGAACGTGTATTAACTGTGTTTATTATAATCAGACTTGATGCGGAAACACTGTGATTGACATTCTCCCTTTATACATGTCATCAGAGGGGGAAAGCCCCGCCCACTAGTCTCCCTCATTAGCATAAACAGCCCTGAGTGAGAAGCAGCCGTCTGTCCATTAGCCAATAGAGTGTAGAATCTGCTGCTGTGCTCATGCATATGCATCTGTAGCTCCGCCCTCTTCTGAAAAGAGCACAATCTCATTTGCATTTAAAGCGACAGTCACCAAAACACCACAATCAGGATCAAAGCCTGAAAGGGTCAGTTTCAGAGAGCTGGAGAACATTATCTGTGTGCTGTTCTCAGCTCACACACACACTCTAGACACAGCAGAGACACATTTACAGCTTGTTAAAGGGGCAGAATAGCTCTCCAGTAAGTTTAACAGAGCAAGGACATTTCCACTTGTCATTTAGAGATGAGTTATTAAGGCTGTTATGTTTAAAATGTGTTCAACTCTTCTCTAAATGTTTGACAGAATTCAATGATCACAGCAGGACGAATAATGTAATGTTGTGTTCATCTGTTGCTCTGCGCACGTGTGTAAACCGGACGCTGGGCACATTAAACCTGTCCTCTGATTGGGCCGTGTGTCAGTCGAGATTGATAATTACCCATGGAGCCCTGCAGGTTATGCTAATGAGGCCGTTCTCTTAAGTAGGCTATCTATATGCAGAGCCGACTGTAATAGATCTGCTCCTTTATTACTGTTAATGTGTTAATGCTGAGGAGGAGCAGATGAAGAAGCAGATCTCTCACACACACACACACACACACACACCTGCAGATCTGATGTTCAGTAGTTTCCATCTAAAGATGTGAATTTGATTTATGTGCAAAACATCTCACATCTGCTGGAAATGGAGAGCTGCAGACCAGCATTAATGACACAAAAACCCTCACACACACACACACACACACACACACTTATATCTGATCAGCAGAAACTATGAAGCGCAGAGACTGATGAAGACTTCACTCACTACAGCTGATCGAATACAAAGCTTATCCTGCTCAGTTGTGTGCATTAGTGTTGTCATGATACTGACATGTCCAACTTTGATGTGATACCTTAAAAAAGATCAATATTTGATGCCATTTTCAATCCTGTGGGGAACAAATTCTGTAAGGTTAAGTGTGTTTTATTTCTAAACTGATGTCGAGAGGATCACATGCTTATGATTGATCGCAGCCGGTGCTGCATCAGCTTCACATATTGCGCCAATCAGATGAATACTGACTCACTATAACTATAACTCCGTTCAGTCGTCTTCGTCATGAAGAATCTCAGTCTGCATTTCTGTGCGGAGTTTGCATGTTCTCCCCGTGCTCGTGTGGGTTTTCCTCCCATCATCCAAAGACTGACAATATAAGTGAATTGACTAATCTATAGTGGCATCCTAAGACAAACTCTCAGCCAGCTATATCTCTTAGCTGCTCCTAACACATTCACAAGCAGAAAAGTTCATGAGATCTACCTGAGCTTAAACTCCCCTCTTGTCCTTCAAACGGGAGGGAACCCTGGGCTCGAGGATATTCTAAGCTCAGGCATGCCAAACACGCTTCATAATCAATCATCAGCTAAGTGTGAACTCTTGAAAGTGCGCAAGTTATATAAAAATGGAAATAATTAAACCATATAAAATGATAAATGCAGCAACATCAGCAGATGCAACCTCATCTTAGAAAAGTGCTCAAATCTTAATATTGTTATTAATTATGAATCTACCCGCTGGTGAGGAGACCGACTGCGAGAGAGCAAAGCCAATAATTTATTTTAAGTAGTTCAGGATCGATATTTATTCATAGATTGATGTTTTTGACATCACTGTTCTTTACATTTGGTGTTTGCATTAAGCATTTTATTTATGCGATAATCAAAAATGTGCTTAAAACAAGTGGATGGAGACATAGGTAATGTCTGTGCTCGGCTGCGTCTCATTTCTCAGTGTACACTACACTCTGCTGCAGCTCTCAGCTCATTAATGCTGGTCTCAGATCAGTTCACTTCTCCAGAAACCTGAGAACTGTAGTGGTCAGTAAAGTGCTGTGAGTGTAAACCTGATCCACTGAGTCAGATCACACACACACACACACACACACACACACACACGATTCAGATTGGTGAGGACAGACCCACATTAAAAAATAAGCTGTAGTAAAGTACCTGAATGAATCAGTTGTGGTGATTCTACAGCTGCCATGATAACACCACTATTCCAATAACAATTATGTTGATTATTATTAATATGATTTATTAAATTACACATTAAATTGTTTATTATTGACGTCTACCCCAACCCTAGAGGCAGCTCTCACAGTAATGTACAAATATTGTTATTCATTCATTCATTCAGTTTCTTTTCAGCTTAGTCCCTTTATTAATCCGGGGTCGCCACAGCGGAATGAACCACCAACTTATCCAGCACATGTTTTACACAGCGGATGCCCTTCCAGCTGCAACCCAGTACTGGGAATATTGTTATACATTGTCACAAGAGTGATGCTGTATTGTTGTGAGTATCCACAGCTGTATCCCTTCTACACTTCACATTGAGGATGGAGGGGTGAAGTCTATAAGAGATACAGCTCCCGATACATCTAATGCATGCACTGCCTG